TCTGACTTGTTTGCAGAATAGCAAGGAGGTAGGTGTGTCCAGTGCAGAGTGAGTGTTGTGGCAGTGGGGTGGAGCATGCCTGTAAGAGACAAGAAGAAAAGTAAGGTCAGTGAGATGAGAATGAATGGGAGTGGGCGTTGTCTGTTGTGCAGGGCCTTGTAGGTTATTTTAAGGATTTTGTTCTTATTGAATAAGGGTTTCAGCAAAGAATGACATGATCTGACTTCTCTTTTATAAGGATTACCCTAGCTGCTGAAAATAGAATGTAGGAGGCAAGTTAGAAAACAGGGAGACCAGTTAAGAGTTGGCTTCCTAGGAGAGATGAGATATTTCTACAAATAACAAGGCATGGTTTGATTTAATGCACTACCATAGAGAAGCCTGCGTTTGGGTAAAGAGTAAGCTGCTGTAACAAAGAAGCTAAAAATACAACAGCTCAAGTAAGATGACTAATTATTTCTGTCTTCCCTAACAGGCTGGCTGTTCTAGGCCAGTGGGATAGCACTGCCCTGCACATGAGCACATACACATTCCAGCTATTAGGAAGGGAGAAATAAGGAGATTCAGGCAAGGGATTTTCCTTTTAAGCAAGCGAGATGGAATTTGTCCATTTCACTTTCTCTCACATCCCTTTGGCAAGAGCTAAGCTGTGGATCACACCTAGCTTCAAGAAAGACTAGGAAATGTTTTGCTAGCTGCACTTGCACCGGGGAAGAAGAGTAGAATTTGGAAAAACACTAGAAGTCTCCCATGAGGTTCAAACAAAAGGTCCAGAGGTAAAAGATTTCACTTCTGTATGGCGTATCCTGGGAAGTACTTTTGGAGGTAGAAGCATGTGAGCTAGGTCTTGAAGGAGGGTAGGATTTTGACAGGCAATGATTGGAAGGAGGTTTGTGCTATCTATGGTTTGACTGTTTTCCAGCAGTTCCTGTGTTGGAACATGGTTGTGTTGAAGAGGAAACTTCATATGTTGTCTGTGGGAGTGATTAGGGTGAGACCCTTATGATTGACTCTTCATGAGTTTATGAGGAGAGAGACACACCCACACACAGGAATACACAGAGACACATTGGCCTGTTATTTTAACATGTGATGCCCTACATGGCCTTAGGACCCACATCAACAAGAAAACCCTTACTATATGGCCTCTGGACCTTGTATCTTCAAACTGAAAGCTTAGTAAACCTCTGTTCTGTTAAATCACCAAGGTATTTTCTCTGTAATAAGCAACAGAATGGACTAGAACAGTAGGTCTCCCCAGGCAGGAAGCAAAGGTGAGGAAGCAGAGGTTTTGAAGAAAGAGAAATATTCTAGTTATGCTGGAGGATCAGGTACCATATTGGGACCTTATCCTGAAGGGAATGGGAAGCCATTGACTGTTCTGGAGGTAGGGAGTTACCTGATTGTAATTGTGCTGTAGGTAAATGAATGTGTGTAGGGTAAGAAAACTTAAAGAGATTGGAAGCAGGCAAACCAAAATGGGAGAATAAGTTAATAATGTCTTTAATTGTGTCAGTAGCTATAGTTTAAGAAGAGGGATGGGGAGGAGGTAGCAGGTGGCATGGTGCTTAAGGCAGCTGGATCCCATGCAGCTGATGCCATAGTTCAAGTCCCAGACCCAGCAACTTGAAAATCATGCCAGGTGCATGTGCACATGTGCCCAAAATCCCAAGAAGAGAATGGAGGAGAAAGGATTGAAGCATGATTTATCACTTTCTCTCCCTGTCTCTGGCAAGTGCATGCACCCTGTAGCAAAAACTAAAAATAATCATTTAAAAACAGAATTGGAGGGACTGACCCCATAGTCTAGTGGTTAAGGGAGCTGGATCCCGCATGGTGGAATGTGATTTGCAGTTCCAACCTGGCAGCCTGAAAACATGCCAGTCACATGTGTGTGCTCCAAATTCTTTCTTTCTTTTTTTTTTCTTTTTTTCTTTTTCTTTTTATTTTGGTCCTATGGTGTGCATGCACTTACCAGAAAGACAGAGAGAGACAGAGAGATAGAAAGCAAGAAATCACCTCCCAAGGGGGATGGCCACGCCACAATCCCTTCTCCATTCTCTTCTTGGGATTTTGGGCATGCACGCACATGTGCCTGGCATGAGTTTAAGCCACTGGATCTGGGACTCAAACCGTGGTCGACTTCATGTGAGTTCAGCGATATAGCCATTACGCTAACTGCTGGTCCCTGTGCTCCAATTTCTGACAGCATGGAGAAATGGAGGGGAAGTGATTGTAGCGTGACCATGCCCCATGGCTGTGCTTCTCTCTCTTGCTCTCTCTCTCTCTGGCGAGTACATGCACACTCTGGTAATAAAAGAAAAAAAGGAGAAGAATGGGAAATACACTGTGACTCTCAACCTTTTGGAGATCTTGGACCCCTTTGATAATTTTATGACCACAATGGATCCTCTTTCCAGATAAATGATCATAGAACCCTAGAATCATCAAATTAAAACAAAACATCCCATTTAGGCAAAAACTAATCTGATCAGCTAATTTTTAAAATCCATGTGAAAAAAATGCTGTTATCTTTGTCCCTTATTTTTTCTAGAAAAATAAAATCAGAGTATGGGGGAGGGGATTGCTCTTTTGGGACAGGTGGGCCTTAGGCAATATTTATAGTAAGGTAGTCCTAAAAGAAAAGTCGAAAGGAGATTTAAATTAATTTAGGAAAAAAATGTCCTCAGGCCTTTAGAGATCAATAAATATAAACAAACTAGACCATCAGGATAGGGACAATATGTGGAGGGATGGGCATTAGGCTCAAAAGAGGTGAGGTTTTGGAAAGTATGGATGAATTCAATGTAAATCATGGTGGGTTCTGTAAATTTTATATAGATAGGGCATCCCTAATCTACAGGTTCAAAATCCAAAATACTGCAAAATCAGTAACTTTTTGAGCTCCAACATGATGTGATAAGTGGAAAATTCTATTGAATATATCTGCCTTTATATAATAGGTCAGTCAAATCACTGCAGTACAAAATATCGTATAAAATTACTTCCAGGCTATGTGCATAAGGTATATATAAAACATACATGAATTTTGTACTTTGACTTGGTTCCCATATTTCACTATATAAGTGCAAATATTTCAAAGTCTGAAAAAAATTAAACTCCAAAACACGTTTGGTCTCAAGCATTTCAGATAAGGGATACTCAAGCTATGTAATTGAAAAGAAATGTACTGAGCATCTATATGCCAGGGTCTCTGGAGGATGGGCAAACAGAGAATAAACAACGCAATCATTCCTCTAGCAGGCAAGACACATACAGAAATAAGATTAATAATGGGACCAGCAGTTAGTGTAATGGCTATGTTGCTGGACTCCCATGTAGTCAACTGCAGTTTGAGTCCTGGACCCGGCAGCTTAAACTCATGCCAGGCGCGTGTGCGTGCGTGCCCAAGATCCTGAGAGGAGAATGGAGGAGAAGGAATTGCGACGTAGCTATCCTCCTTGGGAGGTGATTTCTTGCTCTCCGTCTCTCTGTCTCTCTCTATCTCTCTGGCGAGTGTATGCGCTCCATAGCGTAAACCTCTCCAAAAAAAGGAAAAAAAAAGAAATAAGATTAATAATGGGGATGTAAGAGATGCATTCAAATTGAGAGGATGTAGGAAAGGTCTTGCAGTAAATAGGACCCATAAGATAAAAACATTGCAACTTAAGGAAAGAACGTTTTTGTTTGTTCTGTTTTTAGTTTTGCTACAGAGTGCCTGTACTTGTGGGGGTGAGGGGAGGAGAGAGAGAGAGAGAGAGAAGATAACCCCTAGGGAGTGTGGCCGCACTGCAATCGCTTCTCCATAGTCAAATTTATTTCAGAGTTTTTAAAGTTTTATTCCCTTCGTGAAAGTGATGGAGAGGGACCAGCAGTTAGCGTAATGGCTATGTCGCTGGACTCCCACGTAGTCGACTGCGGTTTGAGTCCCAGACCCGGTGGCCTAAACTCACGGTGGGTGTGTGCCCAAGATCCCGAGAGGAGAATGGAGGTGAAGGGATTGTGGTGTGGCCATCCCCCCACACACACACCCCGGGCAGGGGGTGATTTCTCGCTTTCTATTTCTCTGTCTCTCTGTCTGTCTGGTGAGGGTACGTGCCCTATAGCAAAAACCTCTCAAAAAAAAAAAAAACAAAAACAAAAAAAAGCCACCAGGTCTGAGACTTAAACCACTTGAACCACATAGGCCACATAAGATCCAGCTGCTTTAACTTCCACAGCATCTGCTGGCCCAGGAAAGAGAAGATCTTGGCCAGGAGCAGGCCAATGCATGTATGGGGTTAGGCGGACTCAGGGAGGATGTGTGGAGAGTTCAGGCAAGAAAGACAACTATTGGAACCAGCAGATGGTGTAGCAGTTACGTTGCTGGACTCCCACATGGCCCACCACGGTTCGAGTCCTGGACCCGGTGGCTTAGAACTCATGCTGGCCATTTGTGTGTGCCCAAGATCCCAGGAGGAGAACAGAGGAGAAAGGATTGTGGTGTGGCCATCCCCCCCAGGGGTGATTTTTTGCTTTCTGTCTCTCTGGCAAGTACACATGCCCTATAGCAAAACTCTCTCCAAAAAAAAAAATAATAATAATAATAAAAGACAGCTATTAATAGCCTGTGATGGTGATTTTCATGTATCCACTCATCTAAACTGTGGTCCCAATCATTGAATCAAATACTAATCTAGACATTGCTGTGAAGGTATTTTGTAGATGTGATTAGCATTCATGATGTGTTGACTTCAAGTAAAAGATATTTTCCCAGATTAACTGGGTGTGCCTGATTTAATCAATGAAAAAGCCAAAAGAGCAGAACTGAGGCTTCCTCAAGGAAAAAGATATTCTGCTTGAGGTCTGCTACTTCTGCTATTAGTTCCAGCCTGCCCTTCCTGATGGCCTGCCCCACGGATTTCAGATTACGCTAGCCAGCACCCACAGTGGTGTGAGTCAGTTTCTTACAATAAATCCCTTAATATACATCTGCTATTGTTTCTGTTTCTCTGGTTGACCCTGACTTATATAAAACCAGATTGTGGAGGGCTTTGAATGCTAAATTGAGGGTACAAAGGGAAGGGATGCAGTCTTCATAAGGGGAGATATCATCCATGACCTGGAGAAAAAGGAAGGTGAAATGCACACATTATTTCGTTCTAGAAAATGCTGAGGGATGACCTCTTGCCCATATTTCATATTTCCAACTAACTCCAAAGCTCATGGCCACTGGGAGAATTTTGTAAACATTGCAAAGGCTCTCTCCCTCCCCTCTCCCTGTGGGATGTTTCTGCCTGTTTTTGCCTCCCACTGAGATCCCAGCCATCATAGGAGAGTCTGAATTCATTCACTTGTTCTGTCAGTCATTTCTTTGGCAGGTATTTCTTAGGCAACAACTATGAACAGAGTACAGTGCCCAGCTCTGGATTATAGAAATGACTAAGACACGACGACACTTGTCCTCGAGAAGCTTTGCAAACAGACTTGTAAAGACCAAGTTTCACAGCAAACTGAGAAAAAGAAGCCTCCCTTTTCCCCTCCCTGTGGGACTGGAAGGAGGTAGTTGCTTCTAAATCTTCCCTGTCTGATCTCTCCACTTCCTCCCAATGCACTGGGCTTCTTCCAGCATCCACTTTGCCTATCATGTCTTTTTGTTGTTGTTTGCTTGTTTTTTATTTATTTATTTATTTATTTATTTATTTATTTATTTTATTTTTTTGTTCACTACAGGAAGCATGTGCTCACCAGAGAACAACAGAGAGAGAGAGAGAGAGAGAGAGAGAGAGAGAGAACGACCCCCGAGAGAGAGAGAGAGAGAGAGAGAAATCACTCCCTGGAGGGGATGGCCACACGACAATCCCTTCTTTTTCATTCTCTCTTGGAATTTTGGGCATGCACTCACACACATCTGGCATGTTTTTTCAAGGCAGTATGTCTAGGACTCAAACCATGAAGTCACCCATGTGGCATTCAGCTGCCTTAACCACCATACCACAAGTTGGCCTTCCTTGTCATCATCAAGCAAACTTTCTTGCGTGAAAGGAGCTTCTTTCCTGCCCCTTCTGGGTATTAGCATTTTTTTTTTTCAGGATATTTCCTCTTCCGTGTCCTGCCTATGTCTGTTCGGACTTTTCTCTCTCCAGGTAAGTGTGATTACCTTCATTGTCCATATTTCCTCTTTGGCCTTCTCAGCCAACTCCTAGTTCAATGCCACAGTGGTGACAGGTGAGTGTCTCACTGTTGTAAGCAGTACCAGAGAGCTTCCAACGGCCATCACCGGCCCAGCCACAGTGGCAACATAACTGAACCCACATGAGAAAGTCTAGGGTTTGTGTTCTGGTACCTTTCTGAGCATGCAGGGTGTACAAGTACATGCCAGTGATCCAAGCCAGCTGATACTAGGGGTGGATCACAGTGTAAAGATCCTATAGGGGATGTCCATCTCTTTCTCTCCCCCTCTCTCCCTTGAATGGGAGAAATGAATGAACTTTTTAAAAGTCCTCCCTTAAAAAGCCACCACAGGCTCAGCGTGGTGGTATCGCCAGTAGTGTGCTGCTGTGAAGTACTGGAGCTACATGGGAGGCCCAAGTTCAAATCCTGGAGCAACCTGAATATGCTGGACACACCTGTGTGCACCTATGATCCTGGCTTGCTGAGAGGCTGGGAGTAGGATTCTAGCATTGTGAGATCCTGTTGAGGAGTCAAATCCCTTCTCCCTCAAGAAAGAAAGAAACTTTTTTTTTTAAAGGGAGCATCACAAAAATCTGTCACATTATAGAGGCTGCCCAGCCTCCTACAGCCCATGCTGAGCTCACCAGCTCTCAGGAATTGGCCCTTTCTTTGGGTCCTGGACTCCCAATATTTCATTCTCTGTGTCTTCAGTGAGAATAGAAGCTGTCTATGTTTTCCTACAATCTCCAGCATAGATCAGCCTCAGAATAGCTGCATTTAAAATGTTTAAAGATTTAAACTGAAACTCTGCATTGACACTGAAGATATAGGAAGTTGCTCAATGGCTTTTCAAAAGGACTCACTCTAGAAGACCTTTGAAAGAGGGAAGACATATATGTAAATCATGTGTCATTAACAAAAGCCCTATTCTGGAATATTTATATCATAAAGCAAAGTTTCTTCTCTTGTTATTACTTTAAAATTTGCTGTAGGGTGTATATACTTGTTATTATTTTAAAATTTGCTATAGAGTGTATATACTTGCTGGAGAGACACAGAGGAAAACTGACAAAGCAACGCCCCACCTCCTTGCCCCTGGGAGGATGACCATGCTCCAATCCCTTCCTCTCCATTTTCCTCTTGAGATTTTGGTCATGCAAACACACACATCCAGTGAGGTTTTTTGTTTGTTTGTTTGTTTTTGAGAGGTTTTTGCTATAGGGCTCGTGCGCTCGCCAGACAGACAGAGAGAATCAGAGAGACAGAAAGCGAGAAATCACCCCCCAGGAGGGATGGCCACGCTGCAATCCCTTCTCTTCCATTCTCCTCTTGGGATCTTGGGCATGCACGCACACACACGTGAGTTTTAAGCCACTGGGTATAGGATGCAAACTGCGGTCAACTATATGGGAGTCCAGCGACATAGCCATTACGCTAACTGCTGGTCTCACTTTTTTTTTTGAGAAGAGTTTTTCAAGCTACTAAGTCTGAGACTTGAACTTTGCAGTCAGCCATGTGGGACCCAGCCACCTTAACCAGTATACCACCAGCTGGCCTGAGTTTGTTTCTTGTACCCTAAATAGGATTTGGCTGAAAACTTTAGATGTGTTTTACATTCCTAGAGTTACTGTCCGTTGATTCCTTGCCTATGTAGGTGTTACTGGACAAGGTCAGTACCACAGGGAGGTAGAACCATCTAGGGATTTTCAAGATGGGCCCCTCGACAGGAGGCGATGGGGTGAAAACAGCAGAGCCAAGTGGGCTTCATGGCTTGTTCTGGTGTTCAATTTTTATGAACTGGGGAGTTCTCCTGGCTTAACTACTGACCTGGGAGAATGTTTGGGTGATGCTAGAAATACTTGGCTTCATTTAAAAATGCTTAGTCAAAAGAATATAGATAAGAAAAAAAGCAGTTTTATTTTTTAAAGCTAATAGGCCCTCCCTCTAGTTCAACTCATTCATTTAATACAGCAAGAAATTGATTAGCCAGAGAGAGAAAGTAAATGCCCAAGGTCACACAGCTAGTTCTTGGAAGAGCTGCAAGGAGAACCAAAGTCTCCTGGCTCCCAGTGTAGGACACACAACTTCATTACAGAGCCAAACTGGCATGGACTCAGGGCTGCAGGAACTGCAAAGCAAATCAAAATCTCTTCCATCATTCAGCAGGGGGAGATCTATTCCTCTTCTAGTGCTTCTTTGAGTCTTTTCAGGTCCTAGGAGACACTATGCAACCCTACCATGCCAGGTTAGGAAAGGGGCAGGAAAGCTTGTCCTTGCTCTCTTGCTTTTACTACCAGTTCTGTCTGTGGTGGCGAAGGCCATGGAGCAATTTTTCTTTTAATTTTTTTCTTTCTTTTTTTTTTTTTTTTCGGCCTATATGTCCCACTAGGAAGCAGGAATTGCAATTACTTCCAAGAAACTGCAAGCAGCTTGCCCATAGTGTGGATGTATACAAGGTAGGGAGAGGCATATGGGATCCTTAGTTTAAAGGGGGCAGGCTGAAATACTGAGTGACTAGGGTTCTAGAGAAGGTAAAGAGAACAGATGTTACCTCAGTGGTTTTGGGCACTCCCCATTGCCATAATCCAATAATTGAGAGAAGAGATTTCTGACAACCATGTTACCAAGGTCAAACAGCTTGCATATCAATGAAAAGATTAATTCATTCTATCCTTTATTTTGGGTATCAGTATACCTAACTCTGTAGGAACCCGTTAGGCTCATTACAAAGTGCTTTACTCGGTTAATCAGATGACTCAAAACATAACTTATGTTCATGATACCAGTTTTTGCTTTTGCTTAGTGAGAGGAAGGGGGGAGGAGGTAATTCTGAAGGCAGGGCAGGCCCAGAGGGTTGTCACCATGTAGGACACTGAGAAGCCAGAAGACTGCATGCAGACCAAGGATGTCCTAGTGGGCTAGGGGTAGAGAGAGGAAGCGGGGATGGAAAATAAAGCCAATTTTTGCCTTCTAGGCAATCTTACCATAATCCTGGCATGTGAACCTCCCCCATTCCCATAGGCCTTTGAAAATTTTTTCTCCCTCTGTCTTTGGCAAGCTGCCATAGCTTGATGAACTGTCAGGGAGGGGTGGGATGCATGTAAACTAAGCACTGGACACAGTAGATAAAGTTGAAATTGCACTGGGAATCTGGCTAAGAACTTGGAGTTCAAAGCCCTTTCCCCAAAAGACCCAGCAATCCCTCTTCTGGGTAAGTCTCCAGAGGAAATTAAATTAATATGTTGAAGAGGTATTTGCACTCCCACATGTTTATCCCACCACTAGTCACAATATCCAAGATATGGAATCAACCTAAGTGTCCATCAACAGATGAAGGATAAATGTGGTATATACACACAATGGAATATTATTCAGCTGTGTAAAGGGAGATCCTGCCATTTGCCACAACATGGATAGATGTAGAGAAAATTACGCTAAGTGAACTAAGCTAGATACAGAAAGAAGACTATTACACGATCTTATATATAGAATCAAAAAAAGAAAAAAGTCAAACAGAGATGAATAAAATAGTGGGGCCAGTAGGTGGCATGGTAGTTGGGGCTCTGGACTCCCACATGGCCAACCACAGTTCAAGTCCCAGACCTAGTGACCTAAAACTCATGCCGGTCACATGTACGTGTGTGTCTAAAATCCCAGGAGGAGACTGGAGGAGAAGGGATTGCACTCTAGCCATCCCACCTGGGAGGTGACTTCTGACTTTCCCTCTCACTGTCTCTCTGTCTCTCTCTGGTGAACACACATGCCCTATGACAAATACCTTTAAAAACAGAATTAAATAGTAGTTATCAGCATCAGGGTAGTGGGGAGAAAAAAATGCGAAGATGTAGGTCAAAAGATGCAGAATAGCAGTTATGTAGAATGAACAAATCTAGACATATAATGTACTTCAAATATGAGGACTATAATTATTGATAATAAAAACTGTTTCATATGAGGACTTCAGAAGGTTTGTGGAAAATGTAACTAAAGCACAAGTTAATTTTAGTGCCAAAAGTTTTGAAATCTATGCATAATTTTCTTTTTCTTTTCTTTTCTTTGGAGAGGTTTTTCGCTATAGGGCGTGTGCGCTCACCAGACAGACAGAGAGAGACAGAGAGACAGAAAGCGAGAAATCACCCCCCAGGGGGGATGGTCATGCCGCAGTCCCTTCTTCATTCTCCTCTCGGGATCTTGGGCATGCAAACACACGCACCCAGCGTGACTTTTAAGCCACCGGGTCTGGGACGCGAACCGTGGTCGACTATGTGGGAGTCCAGCGACATAGCCATTACGCTAATTGCTGGTTCCCTAATTTTCTCATCATATACATTTCCATGAAATTTTTGAAGACCCCTGAATTCGAGAATTTTGTAAATAAGTAAATTTTAGCCAATTGTCACACATACAAAAATAAGTTTTAAAATGTAACTATTCCTGGGGACAGCAGGTAGCATGGTGATGAAGGCTCTGGACT